CTATATATANATATATAATTATANANANACATANATANANANANATANATANACGANAAGTATATATATACCTANANANATAGTATATATATATATATATATATGTATATATACGTGTGTGTGTGTGTATAAATCTTTTTGTCTGTGTATAGATGTATATACATACATATATACAAACATACACATATTATGAATACCTTTGAACCAATGGTGCAATTAGCCACTGCTGTGAGCAGGTGTAGAGTCTTCTTGCTTTGCTCCCACTCCGCTTTAGCCGCCTGTTTGGCCAGGGCTTTTATCTTCGTCTTCGTTAAGGCTGCGCATTTGAACGTGAGGATATGGGAATGTAAAATGTTTGAAACGAGTGTGCACGTGAGACATAAAATATGTACGTGTGTTAAAACAAATCAATCAGATTTTACATATACGCCCGTTGTTTTGTAGAGCTCCAGTCCGATTCATTTAATCTGTGTGGTGTCTCGAGCACAGCAGAGAGGAGAAGGGAAACGATACGGAACATATGATCAGATATACGACGCGTGATAGTTAACCAGACAATACAACACGTGATGTGTAACCAGATCTAAACCCTAAAACCCCTAAGAGAATACGACACGTGACGTGTAGCCAGATCTAAACTCTAAAAACCCTAAAACCCTAAGAGAATACGACACGTGATAGTCAACCAGACAATACGACACATGACGTGTAGCCAGATATACGACAGGTGGTATGCAGTCCAACATAAACCACCTGACATATAGCCAGAAGAGTTGCCAGCCATCTGTAGCACGTCCGGCAGTTAGGCAATGATATGAACATATGCAGTGGATATGTCCACGCATAATACAACCACATATGACTGCTATCATTCTCGCACGACAGATTATGTAGAGGGACTAACAGTCACGTCCGACAGCTAAGCAATGATATAAACATATACAGTGGATATGTGTTCACACGACACACCACACCACATACGACTGTTATGATTCTCGTACGATCGATCACACACGTTTGCTATGATGCACATACAACAGCAAAGCAATGCTAGAACTATAAGCAGTGGATATGTCCACATACGACAAACCACATACGCTTGTCGGGTTTCGGTGTGACTACCACCGCCCCTGTTTTGCGCCTCATCGCCCCTTCTCGCACACCATGAGCGATCGTATCTGGCCCTGTACCCGCACGCTCTGTCTCAGACAAGACCGTATCCCCAGCTGCCGGTGCATTCTCGGAAACGAGAACAGAATCGGCCCTATTTCCATCCGGTCCAGGTGCATTCGTGGACTGGGTGGCGCTGGCCACTGCCCCGCCCAGAGATGTGTGTATGGCCATCGCCAGGTGCAACTGCTCATCTCCGGTGGTTTGAGGGAAGTGTATGTGTTGGGCCGTAGCACCCGTGTGTGTGTATGTAAACTCCTCAGACAGCTTCCTCCTGCATTGGGTTTATGAGATAAAAGGATGAGAAGATAAGGACAGTTGATGTGAATTGACTGATAGTCTGTACCGTATGGGAATAGACACATACACAAGATCTGGATGTATGTACAACAGTATATAACAATGTATAACAAAATACGACAATATAAAACAATATATACCAATATATAACAGTATATAACAATATAAAACAACAAATAACAATATACAACAATATACAACAACATAGAACAATATAAAACAACATATAACAGTATAAAACAATACATAACAATACACAACAATATGTAACAATATAGAACAATATATAACAATACAAACACCATATAACAATATATAACAAATTAAAAAATATAAGCAATATATAACAATATATAACAATATATATAATATGTATATATATATATATATATATATATCTTTGTGTGCATATTGCCAATGCCAAGTGCAACTGCTAGTCGCCGGTTGTCTGCGGGTAATACATTTTAGGGTTTTATATTGCTAAACACGGGTCGCTTGTTTCCGGGTTGGTGGTGGTAGGACGTGTGGCGTATGATTCCCTTTCTGTGGATACCATTCGATAGAGAAATACGTACATTGATATACAGACACAAGTACATAAACATACCTATATAAATATACCTACATATATATATGTATACCAATATACCTATATCTACATCTATCGAGAATACAAACACATGCAGAAAAATACACATACTTGTGTATATACAAACATTATCTTAAACGCGTGTATATAACGACACATACACTCATGTCATACGAACATACGCCCACCCACACATTCATGCAATCCATATATTCATATACGGATCAACATTTGGTGTACGTTTACACACGCCTAAAACGCTAAAACCCTAAAACATACACAAGCCTAAATAGAATCTTTATACATACAAACACACGACGCGTGGTTGTACCGAAGTGCGGACGTATGGACTTACGCATGCACGGTTTCTATTGACTTCGGTAGTCCCAACGGAGGTGGTAGTGGCGCGGGTGGCGGTGGCGGTCTATCCTTCACCACAGGGTTCAGCGATTGGCTCTGAAAACCAAACAGTCCGCTCTCGTCCAATGGTTTCTCAACGATTAACCCAGCGGGGCTCTCGGCCAACGGAAGTGCAGCTTTCGGGTGACTGCCGGGGCCTTGGCTCTGGAAGCTGGTCAAGTCTGCCATGTGTGCAACGGCCTCTGTGCAGAGATATGATACATACAACAACTTGTGAATACCCCGCACTCGCACATAAGGTCATTTGACGCACTACAGCGTCCGATATTTACTTAAGAGTTTTCTGATACGATACGAAACAGCGCCATAGCAAAGAGTGACTGTACCTGCCATGGTAAGACGAGTTTGGTAAATAGTATGGTATACGTAGAGTTGTGAGCATCGGCATAAGTATACTTGTAGTTGAATTCACATACGCACACACTTTCTGCGTGAACTATATATATATATATATATATATATACGTGAATGTGTATGTATTCACTCCACTCGACACACCCGGAACATACAAATACTGGATCAATACCAGCGTATAATTGACCACAGTAGTAGTACAGAGTACCAGCACCTACCATTTAATTGGCTACCATCACAATCTATTAATATCCTGTCCTTTGATAGGTGGCCGATCTCGTTCGTAAAGAAACTCGTGGTAACAGCCGTGACCGCATACTCACTCGATGCCTCTAGCTGCGCCTCCACACTCCCCTGGACTCCACTTCCCGCCAAATTGTCCTGTGACGTCGTTCGCTTCTTTTTAGTTTTGGACCCTGCGCCCACTTTTTTGGGCTTTGGTTGCTCGGATTTTGGCCGTTTCTGAACCTTTTCTCTCTCCTTTCGATCCGATTTCCGCAGTTTCTTCCTGATATCTGTAGCTCCCTGGGCACACGTGCTAGCTTCCTCATCCGCTTTGGCGCCTTTCTTAGCCTTCTTCACATCACGACCCTCTGCCTCGGGTTTCTTTCGCTTATTGCCGGGCCGCGCACTTTCACTCGATTTGCTACGTTTACTCGTCTGGGTACGTATATTCTTCGCGCAGACTGGGTTATCGTCTTTTACGGATTCACTCGTTCTTATTCCGGTCACATCTCCCACAACGAAGCCCACTCGGTCCGTTGACTCCAGTGCCACCTGATCGCTTGTCCTTGTCCCGACACTCGGTCCTAAACCTTTACTCGTGCCAACGGTCCCTTTTGTACTTCTAGGTGCATGGGTCGCAACTCCTGTCGCCTCGTCTTCACGATCACGTTTCGTATGTGTCGTATTTAGCTTGCCCTCTTCTGTCTTTTTGAGACTTTTCGCTTTTCTAGGGCGTCCGCGTCGCTTCTGCGCTGTCACGCCTTTGCCAATACATTCGCCTTCACTGGTGTTCACACCCATACTCGCACTCACACTCCGGCTTGCCTTCGCACGTGCACCTAAACCTAAACTTTTAGGACTCGATGCCCAGTCTGCAGTAGTATCCAGACTCCTCTCACTCGCACTTCCTGGCAAAGTTCCGTTGCTCTGCCCTACACCCATACAATCACTCCGGCCCACACCCAAAGGTACCGAACTTCTCCCATCGCCATCGCCGGTTCTGGCTCTCGAGCTAACCCCGGTACCATGTGCGTGCACAAAGTACTTGCTCCTGTAGCACCCCTCCACAAACATATCCGCACACCCGCTCTCTGGTGTGGGTGTGGGGCGTAGACTGCCGGTCCGTTTACCACCGCCAGGTGCATCGACCCCTGCCTGTGTGCCATTACCCTGTCCCGTTCCACCAGGGGCGGACACACGCACACTTGGGCCCTGTCCTGGGGTGCGCTCAGCAGCGCGGGGGTGTGGGAGATCCTCTGTAGGTACACGGCACGGGCTTCCCACGCCTGCCACTGTAGTTCGTTGGGCCACATCAGTGTGGGGTGTGTCCTGTTGCGACGTTCCTGTTGTGTTGTCGTTCGCTGGCGTGCTTGTGTTTGCCGTAGCAGTTGAGGTGGTGTTCTCGGTTGCCCTGCTTGGACTGACCTCGAGCCTATTGCCCGATACTTCAGCACCCAAGTGTGCGGTGTTGGCCCCGGGGTCTAACTTTGGGGCTTCTGAAGTGGATTGGTTGACTACGTCCATCGCAGCATCAGCTGTCTCAAAAGTCACAGAATGGGCCGTATCTGTCCCACTCCTCGCATCATGGACCAGGTCTGGTGCGGGTTGCTGCTGCGGACTCTTATTACCAGCTGAAACTACCGTGGTATCGAATTCCACTTGACTACCGAGCTCGTCGCCGTCGCCAAGTGCCACACTAGCATTGACCGATGACTCATGAGTCATGCCAGCTATCATCCTCTGTTCACCCGCAAGACACACGTCCGTACCGAACTTCTCTGGGATGCATGACTCCCCCGCAACACACACGTCAGTACCGAACTTTTCTAGGCTGCATGACTCCCCGTGCGCTTCACGTGTCAACCCAACCTTGACAGGTGTTATGGACGACCCTATATACGACAGATCGGGGTAGATGGCCGGCCCGTTCGTGTCGTTCAGTTCGGTATGTTTCAGATCCAAGATCCGTCGCTTATCCAGCGCAGAGCCAATCGGACACCCCCCTTCCTCCGCCACCTCACGTGCATAGTTTACACTCTCTCCAGACGTCACCTCCACCTCACGTGCATAGCTTACACTCTCTCCAGACGTCGATGCAGGGGTGCCTTCCTTCCCATTGTCCCTCCCGTGCTCATTGGTCATCCCGGTATCCGCCGTAGCCCGCTGTGTGCGTGTGCGTGTGTGTAGGTTGCTACGACTCGCGCGTTCGGGTAGAGTGTGGTCGTCTCCTTCTATCTCAGTCGCAATCATTGCAGGTGCTGTAGCTTTCGGCTCAGCAATACGTTTACGTGCACGCACATCTGTGTGGGATCGTTTGCGTTTGTGCGCACGTGTCGATGCCCGGACGGCTGCTGTGCGGGTGCGCGTTTGGGTGGTTGGTGCACCTATCCTCGATTTTTCGGACCCACTTGGTCCAAAATCTGTAACGCCAGACACCACATCTTGCACCGTCACTTTACTGTCGTGCAACTCATGTGTCACTCCTAGCTGTGTAGTGGGATTCGGGCAAGCCTCCCCGCTTGTAGACCCCTGTATTGACCCCCTAACAGACCCGCTTGGCCCCTCCACAGTCAGCTCTGCACACGTGCTCGTCGATTCAGATGCATGAGACGGCACTGGTGCACTCACATCCTGTAGCAGCACCACGTGCCTGTCATGTTCACGTGTCAGTTCGGGGGATGCGATCGTGGTGGATAGGTCACGGGTGGTGTCTGTATTATGTGTTATTGTCCCTCTCTCCCTTGGTTTGCTGCTACTACTTGCTGTGTCTGTGTCTGTGTCTGTACGGTGTGTTATTGCCCTTTCATCCCTTGTTTTACTACTACTACTGGCTGTGTCCATGTCAGTGTTTGTACTGTGAGTTATTGCCCTTTCACCCCTTGTTTTACTACTACTACTTGCCGTGTCTGTGTCTGCACCGGTATCTGTACGCGCACGTGTCTTGGGCGTCCTCCTACCCGCCTTGCCATCTGTTCCAGTGGTTGCCCTGCTGTCTCCAAGGTAACGGTTGTGGTCTGAGGGTATCTCCTCCTCCATTGGTTCTAATCCCAAACCAACCATCCGTGCCATCTCAGGCATATGTCCCACACCCCTTCCCGCAGAGACGTGCCCTCTCTCCGGCAGCGCAATGCCTAGTAGTGACCGGGTACCTACTTGCAGCGTCTGCGTACCGAACGGGAAAGACTGAGTAGCGAACCGTCTATCTGTCAGTGGGGTATCCTGTTTATCGGACAATACGCCCAATTGCCCAGGCACCTGGTACCTCTTCCGGTGGATGCTGCGTGGGCCATCCTGTGTGCACGCATGGGAGCGGTTGCGGAGGTGTACCGTTGTGCGTAGAGGTGCGTGTGAGCTCCCCTTTGAGTGTGTCTTGGGGTGGATATCGAAGGCACTCGCAAGTGATGGTCGACCCGGCATGGTTGAGGGGTTGTGTCTGCCCAGTGAGAGTTTGGTGCGTCGACTAACGTATAGGGCTGGTACGGGTTGATCGCTTGACCTCGCATTGGAGACGCTGCTTTCCGGTGTGAATTCCATTCTGGCAGTGTTGTTGACTTCTCATGCGTACGTATACTGTGGCCTACAGGGTGCGTACATAGAATGTTAGTATTGAGTAAGGTGCTGGTAAAATGTGAGATAGGATGTTAATATTGGGCAAGGTGCTGGTAAAATGTGAGATAGAATGTTAGTATTGAGTAAGGTGCTGGTAAAATGTGAGATAGAATGTTAGTATTGGGCAAGGTGCTGGTAAAATATGAGATAGAACGGTAGTATTGAGTAAGGTGCTGGTAAGCTGTGAGAGCTTCGATATCTTCTGACATTGACTACTAAGACGAATGAGAGTCTCTATGAACTACAATACCAACTACCTACTGCAGTAAGCCTTCGTGCTGTTTGTAGAGACAGAGTCTGAAAGTGGGTTAGTCTTGCATGAAGCTGACGCAGTAATTGAGCGGCCATTATAACGCCACTACAAGTAGTGATTGACTCAATGCACAGAGTGTGCTACTAATGCACCTCCGCCCACGGCCAAACACGAACTCAGCCCGGTTTAATGTTCAGCACACCAGTTGAATATATCTCAGATATAACGTGAAACAAGGCTCATAGCATAGAGTCACTTTCCAGCTGTGATGGTTGCACGTGCGGGCTTTGGATTAGAACTAACGGACTATATACAACGCTAGCACAACGCGCTAAGTGAGTACCTATCGAGACGTTGTATACATGGAAAACCACGGCATAACTTCAATACGCTTTGATATACGAGACAAACAGGCGTATCCACAGACTGGGACGCAAAACACGCTGTTGGATTGGAAAAGTGCGGAGGATGTACTGGGATCTAGTCCTAGAGATGAAGGCGTCTGTTCACTCTATAGTACGAACGTTCAGATATGAAGGTCCATATAGTTAAAATACGGCACGATTAAAGCGTGTGTATACCTAGTTTGATAGCCGTCACTGTTTTATCAAGTATCAATCGGCACATCCTCTATATCTAGGGACACGTTGAAATCGATTCCAAAGCAGAAGACAATACATACATCCAACACATCTAACAAGCACGAGACACATTCAGGTCTATTGTAGACACGTTGAGAGATAGACATAGCACACACGCCTTTCTAAGACACATAATCCTACTCTACTACCTGCACATGAAGTAAATAGCACACGCAGCCGTTGTGTCCAACTTGATCCGAATGACTTACCTACGGTTGTGCCCCTGAGAACGTCACTAACACGTCAAAACTGCAGGCATATCGCTGAAGTTCTAATTACAACCAAGCTCTTCTTCGTTCACCTAATCTCGTGACGAGTATCACCGATCAATCCGTATGTATATGGTCGCTAGCAGTACATACTATACATCGCATCGATACATGCTGAACGCTTCTTCATGCATGCATTGGTCCATCCTGAAGCCAAGCATAAACTAGTCGTAGAGAGTACGTATTGTCGAAATAACGAACAGTTTGAACTTTGAAATCTGCCGCCAGACAAGCAGCTGGCCAATGAAAATGTAACAGCTTATCTGACGGGATCTACATCTCATCCGTTCTTTTATTCACCAACAGTGTTAATTTCTTTTTATATATATTATACATTAAATATTCGTATTAAAGAGCCCGCAATGCGAAATACATACCGACCGGGCAGAAATCAGGTAAACCACGAGATTAGCCAAACTACCGGACGTATTGGAAATCTGAGACCAACACCGTGATCCAGCGTGGTCGAATTAGTAGCGGACAATACACACTTTCTCGTGCGCTACCTATAACATCGCTATCAATGGAAGAAGACTTCCTGTATATGCATGTGTAGGACACGATATACTGTTCCTATTAAGTGTAATCGTGTTGGTGCTTATCCTTTGATCTTACCTACTTTCTCTAATTACATATTGTTTATATATATTTATTAACAAAAGAATTCATATCTCCGGCTAATGACGCGTATGAACAGACGTATGTTGCACCTATGGGCGAGCAACACGGCCTGGAACGACGACGCATCCGAAACCTGGCAACTAAATGGGTGTGTACGTCTTGTATCTGGCTATCATAGATGGGCTGTACATATGTAACAACAAAAAAATTCTGCTACTCAAGCTATAGCGTATGCGTTACGCTTGTATATAGCATGCAGAAGAAAAAAACTGATAAACTCTGTGGGACGTGTGAGATAAAAAGAAAGGCTGGCGAACACTACTGAATATAGTACAGTACGCGTCTTAAACACGCTCAGCCCTTGAAAGGGTGAGAATTTATCACCTAGATAAAGAATCTCAAAAACCAATATATATATATATATATATGCTAGTAGTGCTTCATCCTCAATCCGTAATCGCACACAGAGGTATTCACAATATAGTCTGAGCCATATACTCTTGATGTTCGTACATAGATTTGAAGGAGTGTAGACTAAAGACCAATAGCCGCCTTTTTAACAAATGACAATCAATATGTGGCCGCGACGAGCGTCGGCGAGGTTGGATCCTGGAAGCGGTGTCACACCGATACAACGTCTGTGGAAAAGGAGTGATGAAACATATCGCTCATCTATTGCAGTAGTGGATAAAGCCCGACGGTAAGATTTAATAGAACCTCAGATTTTTCCAAATAATAAATGAGGTAGCTCTGTGAAAAATGCGGCTAGCCGCTGCTGTCGAAGGAACTTGTGTAGTGCTGGATTTTGAGCTGTCTCGTTAACTCTCCTGAAACCCAGCTGAAATCCAGTGTGGCTTGAATGCGAAGATTTCGTCTTTTATGAACATTATTTCTCACAAACGTTTTTACTTAAACCTCAATCCAATCATAATATATATATATATATATATATACATATATCTATACATATATACTATATATATATATATATAATACACACACACACACATATATATATATATATATATATATATATATATATATAGTATATATTATATTATATATGTATTATAT